GCTGTAAGCTCCGTTTTAATAAGAGATGATGGGGCACAAAAGCCCATTTATTATGTGAGCAAAGCACTAAACGGGGCTGAGAGTAGATATACGGCGATGGAAAAGACAGCCTATGCGCTTTTCATCTCCGCAAAAAAGTTAACATCCTACTTCCAAGCTCACCCGGTAGAAGTCTTGACTGACCAACCGCTGGGTGCAGTGTTGCGAAATTCAACATCCTCCGGGAGGATGGTGAAGTGGGCGATGATGTTAACTCAATTCCACATTGAGTACCGGCCAAGGTCGGTAATTAAGGGACAGGCCCTTGCTGACTTCCTAGTAGAAATGACCGGTCTAACTCCAGACTTACCGGTCAACAAGCCCACTGAGCAATGGTGGGAGATGGCGGTTGATGGGGCATCCGGTCCTAGAGGATACGGGGGTGGTATCGTGTTCACCACCCTAGAAGGGTTCAAGATCTACCATGCAATCGTCTTCAACTTCAAACTGACGAACAATGAGGCAGAATATGAAGCTCTGGCTGGAGGGCTCAGACTGGCCCAAGCCCTGAAAATCAGCCGGGTCAATATCAAATCTGACTCTAGCCTGATAGTTGGGCAGGTGACCGGTAACATGGAAGCAAGGGAAGGACGCATGGCACAATACAAGGACCTTGTACTTGCCCTGTCGAAAGGCTTCGAAGAGTTCAAGATCGCCTAAATTCCCCGGGCGGAAAACGCGGATGCAGACCTTCTCTCCAAATTGACGCAGTATGCTCCCGAGCACGTTTCAAAACTTGCCCGGGTAGAGATCCTTGACCGTGCAAGCATCGAAAAATTGGAAGTCGCCGCTATAACGGCCGGTAGCCAATTTGACCGGTCAAACTTGGTTGGGGCGGACGACCATTGGATGTATGATCTGATGGAATATTTGATGGATGGGAGCTTGCCAGAACAAGATGACCGGGCAAGAAAAGTGAAGCTCAGGGCACCCCGATTCCAGGTTCTTGATGGAAAGCTGTATAAAAGGGCATTTGGGGGGCCACTCCTGAGATGTCTAACCAACCGGGAGGCTGAGCGAGTCATCGCGGAGGTCCACGAAGGCGTATGCGCGGCGCATCAAATGTCCCGTACGCTTTCCCAACACATCATCTTGTTGGGGTATTACTGGCCAACAATTGTACAGGATTGTGAAAGGTACGTCCAGAAATGCAGGACGTGCCAAGTATTCTACAAGTATCCTGGTAGGCCGGCGACCTACTACCACCCCGTATTGAATGTCATCCCGTTCGCTAGATTCGGGGTTGATATCATTGGAGCCTTTCCGATCGCCCAAGGAGGGAAGAAGTTCGTAATCGTAGCCATCGATTACTTCACCAAATGGATCGAGGCCGAAGCGTTGGCCAACATTACCACGCAAAAATGCAAGAAATTCATTTGGAAGAACATCATCACGAGGTTTGGAGCGCCCATGAACCTCATCACCGACAACGGCCCACAATTCCGAAATCCAAGATTCACTGAATACTTGGAGGGCTTCGGGATCAAGCACAATCGCTCTTCGGTGGCGTACCCCCAAGGAAATGGCCAAGTCGAAAACGCCAACAGAACTATTGTAGATGGTTTGAAGAAACGGTTGGGAGAAGCAGGAAACAAATGGCTAGAGGAGCTCCCGCACATCATATGGGCATTCCGAGTAACACCCAGGAGGGCTCACGGGGAAACTCCATTCTCCCTAACCTATGGGTGTGAAGCAAGGCTGCCCATCGAAGCTGAATTCCCAACGTTCCGGGAATCAAATTATCAACCCCAACAAAATGAAGAAGACCACTTGGCCGAGCTCAACTTGGTCGAAGAACGAAGAATGGCCGCGGAAGTTAAAATGAGTACATACCAACAAGTTGTGAAGAAGTACCATGACAAACAATGGTACCTGTCAAGGCGCAAATCAAAAGGAATGAAAAGTACCTGGGTGGTTATGGCCCTCGGCCTCTGCAGTGTTGCCCGGGGAGGGTACCTCGCGCCCCGCTGCTTCATGGGCCTGGGAGGTACCCTCACCACCTGACTCCACCCTCCAAACCCAGCTGCCATAATGAAAGATCCTCCCAGTGAAAGGATCCCCGCGCATAAGGACCTCAAGATTCACTTCCAAGTCTGGGGAGGAAGCCGGTGCAGCATACTCTTGGTCGAGGAGATGGTCGTTCCATTTCAGATCGGCCAGAGGAGTAACGAAGGGGGGAAACTCGATGAAAACAAACTTTTCCTTCCATCCCCGGTTACTCTGGGGGACTTCGGAAATGAACTTCCTACCGGTACGGGCTTTGAAGAATACAAAACCTTCGCAGCCGGATCCCCCCGGTAGGACTTCAAAGCAAAAAAGGAAAAGACACAAAGAGGGGAAGATTTTCAGATGAGTACAAATATTTACAAAGGAATGAAGATACCGGTGGGCGTTAGGAGTTATTTGACCGGGCAAAATCCTAAACGCATGGCAGACTTCGGTAAGGAGGGGGAGAAGGGGGAAAACTATGCCCGCATCCAGTGATATGGTGTGGAATCCTACCCTATCCTCCCGGTGGGGTTCAACAATGTTGGGCCAGTTAGGTTCATACAGGAGGGTATACCCATCCGGGAGCCTCCTACGAATTTTATTCAGAGCGATTTTGGATACACGGGAAGGGATGTCAAGGACGTAGAAGGTGGGGAGCTGAAAGTAACCGGCAGCATGAAGCCGCTCCTCCCACGCATCCCGGGTTTCGTGTTCAGGGTCATAAGGATCCGGTTCAACATCGACCGGGTCATCCCTCCCCACGAAAGTTTCACCGGGCATCTGGTTAACAGGATGCGGGTCGGGAATAGAGGAGTTGGGAACCTGACCGGGCGTGGATTCAGGAGAAGAAGACCCGGTCGAGGAAGATGAGTTGGAATCCTCAGAGGAGCAGTCCTCTGAGGACGAGATCCTATCGCTAAACGAAGACATGGCCGGGAAAGAAGAAAGAGAAGGAAGGAGAAACTTACTTGACTCGGAGGGCTGGATAGCAAAGAGAAGGAACTTGACCGGTGAAAGCTCTGAGACTTGATCGCAGAAAGTGAACAAAGAAGAGGGGTGGAGGCCTTTATATTGGAAGAGGAGGGCTGAAAGGAGCGACGTGGCCCCTTCAGGTTGCGCCGCGTCAGGCGGCGCAATGATGACCCACTGGCAAGCGAAACGACGGGTCTGCAGCCGCCTGATTGCAACAGTTGATGCGCGACACGTGGCAAAAATCTGAGTTTGAAATTCAAATTTCAAAAATTTTAGGCGGGAAGAGCCAAAATTTCAAAATTGGAGTCCTATTTCAGACTTTTTACTTCCCGCTCATGACAAATTGCATGACCGAGAAGTGGAGGGCTTATTGATGGGTGTATTCCACCCACGACCGGTCAAAGGAGAAGACCAATTAGTTGACCGGTCAATCTCGAAAGTTTTGAAGGGAGACTTAAATCGTCAGCAAAACGATATATAATCGGCCAAAAGATGACCGGTATACTTCACGAAAAAGTATACCGGTCAAACTACGTTGTCATGTTATTTGTTCCCAGACTTCGATGAATTCATCCCTCGGAGATTACCCGGTGTAGTTTATAGGGTTGGAAAGTGTCGGCAGAAGAGAATCTACGAGGGCTTGGCGTGTAGCGACCCATGTCAGTAGAGGACAACTNACATTATCAATCAAAGTGATGTTCAATACTCTACTTGGTAGCGGCAGAATTGATAGGTCGAACCTATCCTAGGAGGGCTTCCTGGGTGGATCGAATCCACTTGGATAAGCCAACTGAGACACAGGCCCGGACCTGGCACGCTGGTTACTACACCGGTCTTGCTCAGTATAATAGAAAAAATATTAAAACCCGGAAGAGGGGCCTGGAAGAGGGTATGCCTGCAAGAGGGCTGGACCTGGAAGAAGGTTCGAACCGTACTTACACGGGCCCATGAGGTTTGACTGGTGTCGGGGAATCAGCCGGCGCCGTCAAATTGATTGGGGACTAAAAGATGCCCATTAAAAGAAATAGAAGGGGATCGTCCACCGTGGCGCATCCTATTTCCCCCTTCTCAGGGAAGACTTGAACGGGAGGGTGAGCTAAGGCCTTCCCGGGATGGTAGAAATCAAAGGGCCATTAAAACACTTAATCACCCGGAAGAGGGGGCCCTGGAAGAAGGGTGCATTTGAACCTTGGAGAGGGTTCGAAACCATTCGACATGGTTAAATCTCCAGTATTCTTACCGGTTAAGGATACTTCAAGAATTACTAGGTTACAGGTGTTTCCATCTACAACCTACCGATCAAAAAAAAAAAAAGAATACCCCGGTTGGGTATGAGCACAGCAGAACTTCGAAAGTTCTACATCCATCGGAAGGCAAGGTAGTTGACCGGTCAAACCATGGAGTGGGAATTCACCGGTCAAATAAAACTTTGTCGAAGGATTCGTGAAGCCATCCAAAAAGCCAAAGTGAAATTCAGCCGGTTCACGTTAGTTCAACCGGGTTGGACTTAGCGTATGCAAAAACGAGCCAAGAAAGCGAAAACTGAAGTTTGACCGGTCAAAGTTACTCGAGTTAATCCTTCAGATAAAGTGATCAAAGAGAACTTTGAAGTTCTCCCGGTCAGAAACAATTGAGAAGTGGTCTGATTGGGCTACCAGTCAGAATTTATAAGAAGCAAGAGCAAAGTATAAATCAACAAGCAAGCAGATATGGAAGATTCACCGGTAAGAAAATTAAACATGGCATTTAAATTTGGAAATGTCAAATGTTTACAAGTACGCCGGGCATACCCGGGGAAATTTGTGCTAAAAGTTTTACAAAAATAACCGGGCGCAGCCGGGGAGATTAGTCAAGGGGGAAGGGGGGAGTCGGCTCTTCTTCCGGGATAGAGGCCAAGCCGTAGGATGCAGCGGTGAAGTCCGGATCTCTTCTGAGCAGTACCCGGTGAGAGGCGATCCGGTCCTTCTTTTGACCGCTCTTGAATCCGAAGGATCCAATCGCGGTAATCATCTTCCTTCCTTCAGGCTCCCGGTATAGAAGCCTGAAGGACTCCATCGTGGTCTCGGGAGTCGCCGTCATCACCCGGGCAGCTTCAGCTTTGTTCTCTTCCACCCAGGTAGCTGCACGCCCGGGGAAGGTTTCTTCCTTCTCCGCCATCTCCCTCTTGGCTTCAAACACCTCGTCCATCAGCCGGCCATTCTCTTCCTTGAGGTGAGAGATCTCCGCCCTCATCGACCCGATCAGCCCGGATAGCCTGGCCAGCTCATCAGCTTGGCTCTTCAGGATGAGAGCCATCTCCTCCTTCTCCTTCTTCAGCCGGGCAAACTCCGAAGAAGAGCCCAAACCAAGCCGGTCAGCTGAGAGGGGTCCGATCTCCCCCGCCTGCGCAAAAGGAAAAATAGCCCGGTAAGATTCTCGCCAAGGGAAAAAGAAGATCAAGACCGGGGTAGCAACAGGACTTACCTCCTTCAGCCTCAGGCCCAGGTTGATGAAGGCCTCTTCAATAGACTGGCCGGCCGGCTTTGAGTCCCCTCTTTGCCTCTTCTTAGCGAAGGAAGGGTGTGTGGTGGCCACCTTTTTTATCCGCCGGCCGGTTTTCTCTTTGCCCTTCCCTTTTGACCGGTCATCCTCCGGCTCGTCCAAATCATGGATTTCCACGGTCTCTGGTTGGACCTTGAAAGTTTTCGCAGTGCCAGCCTGAGAACCACCGGTCTCCCTCTGGCTGATCTTCGGGCATGGCGAATTCTTCGAACTCCATATCTGCGAAAGTAGCCAAAACCATTAAGTACAAGCAATGGTACCGGTCAAAGCGCAAATCACGAAGAGTGAAAAGTACCTGGGTGGCTCTGGCCCTCAGCCTCTGCAGTGTTGCTCGAGGAGGGTACCCCGCGCCCCGCTGCTTCATGGGCCTGGGAGGTACCCTCACCACCCGACTCGACCCTCCAAACCCAGCTGCCGTAGTGGAAGACCCTCCCGGTGTATGGATCGCCGCGCATAAGGACTGCAAGACTCGCCTCCAAGTCAGGGGAGGAAGCCGGTGCAGCGTACTCTTGGTCGAGGAGGTGGTCGTTCCATTTCAGACCGGCGAAAGGGGTGACGAAGGGGGGGAACTCAATGAAAACAAATTTTTCCTTCCATCCCCGGTTACTCTGGGGACTTCGGAAATGAACTTCCTACCGGTGCGGGCTTTGAAGAATACAAAACCTTCGCAACCAGTCCCGCCCGGTAGGACTTCAAAGCAAAAAAGGAAAAGACGCAAAGAGGGGAAGATTTTCAAATGGGTACAGATATTTACAAAGGAATGGAGATACCGGTGGGCGTTAGGAGTTATTTGGCCGGGCAAAATCCTAAACGCATGGCAGACTTCAGTAAGGTGGGGAGCGGAAAGTAACCGGCAGCATGAAGCCGCTCCTCCCACGCGTCCCGGGTTTCGTGTTCAGGGTCATAGGGACCCGGTTCGTCATCAACCGGGTCATCCCTCCCCATGAAAACTTCACCGGGCATCTGATTAACAGGTTGGGGGTCGGGAATAGAGTTGGGAACCTGACCGGGCATGGAGTCAAGAGAAGAAGACCCGGTCGAGGAAGAGGAGTTGGAGTCCTCAGAGGAGCAGTCCTCTGAGGAAGAGATCCTATCGCTAAGAGAAGACATGACTGGGAAAGTGGAGAAGGAAGGGGAAACTTACTTGGCTCGGAGGGCTGGATAGCGAGAGAGAGGAATTTGACCGGTGAAAGCTCTAGAAGGCGAAGTGCGAAAAGTGGGAAGTGAAGGGGGTTGGAGGCCTTTATATAGGAGGGAGGAAGCCAAATCAGATGATGTGGCATCTCCAGGTTGCGCCGCGTCAGGCGGCGCAATGATGACCCACTGGCAGGCGAAACGACGGGTGGGCCGCCGACCGTTGCAGCGACGTGTGTCCAACACGTGTCAAAGCTCCGAGTTCAAATTCAAATTTTGAGATTTTCGGGCGGGAAAAAGCCTGAAATTCAAATTTGAGGTCCCTTTTTAGACTTTTTACTTCCCGCTCATGGCAATTTGCATGACCGAGAAGTGGAGGGCTTATTGATGGGTGTATTCCACCCACAACCGGTCAAAGGAGGAGACCATATAGTTGACCGGTCAATCTCGAAAGTTTTGGAAGGAAGACTTAAATCGTCAGCAAAACGATGTATCGTCGGCCAAAAGATGACCGGTATACTTCACAAAAAAGTATACCGGTCAAACTACGTTGTCATCCTATTTATTCCAGACTTCGATGGATTCATCCCTCGGAGATTACCCGGTGTAGTTTCTAGGGTTGGAAAGTGTCGGCAGAAGAGGATCTGCGAGGGCTTGGCGTGTAGCGACCCGTGTCAGTAGAGGACAACGGGAGATGCTGAGGAATCCATTCAAGGCACTACTCGACAAAGGGAATGATCTCCCTCACAAGGCGACAAGGCAGCTCGAGGACGAAACCAGTCACCTCGCACCACATCAGCAGCATGCCCCCACGTGGGCGCACGTGGTCTTGTCCCCCATAGCCTAGTATAAATACTCATGTAAACCTCAGAAAGAGGGATCGGAATTCATTCTCTCTAAAACTCCCTTGTAAAAGCACCCGTGCATTCTCCGTTATAATATAAATTGGGCTACAGGTGTTCCACCTAAAGTCCTACCGGTCAATCTGCGTGTTTTTACCTTTCTTACTTTGCCAAATCGAACAAACTATTCTAGACCCGGTCTAGTATAGTTTGACCGGTCAAGTAATTTATACCATCAGTATGTTTTATTTTTTATTTCTATACCAATATTTAAATAAAATAAATTGAAAAAACTTGGGATTCTTTTTCGTTTTGCGAACCGGGAATATCATTATAAGACGGAGGGAGAGTGAGTAGCATTTAAAACTAGGCAGTACTAAAACATGGTCAACTGGGTTGTTTGCATGAGCAGTAATTAGGGAGAGAGGGACGATGGGCCATAGTGGGCGGTGGATGAGAGGTAGGATCCATATATGGAGTAGATGACATTCAAAGAAATTAAACTTCCTTTTTTTGCATTAATTCCATCTCCTATGCAATGAAAAAATATATTTCATCTGTCTAATACATTTGACTAAAGTGACAAAATAAGAAAGGGATAATTTCGTGTTCTTTCCAAAAATACTTTTATATTTTTATGGAACGGAGGGAGTATTTCATAAACTTTCCAGTTTGACCTTTAGGGTTAAATTTTTGAGGTTTTGATTATACATTAATAGGGAGAATATATATTGAATTTTTATATAAGTTTAGTATCAATATCTTCATTTTAAAACATAATTTTGAAATATTACGTTTTTATTCTCCCTCCGTCTCATAAAACAATTCCTATTTGAAAAAAGATAAAATGAGTAATTTTAGTGTTATTTTCTAATTTTGCCCATATTTTATAATAGAATAGGACGAGATGTGTATAATAGATAAGTTATAATTAGAACATAACGCCAAAATAATTAATTTTAAAGGTGTGTCTTTTTTCAAACAAGAAATTTTTTTTATGGGAGGAGGGTGTAATATATATTTATCTATAAATAAAAAAGGGTAATTTACCTAAATAGGACTAAAACATAATAATTTTTCTCAATATAGGACCGTATATTTTTATTTGCCAATGTAGGACCATTGATCATTATTTATTAGTCATTATTCAACTAAATGTCCAGCATCATTTGGAGATTAATTTTCTTAGTAGACATTATTAAGTTCTATTTAGAAAATAAAAAAGTTTAAGTCCTACATTGAAAAATGACTTATGTTTTAGTCATATTCAGTTCAAATTTCACAATAAAATTCTTGAAAGAAGTATGCCGGATATGTGTGTGTGTGTCTATACACACACACACACACATACATACATACTCCCTCCGTCCCAAAAAGTCGTTTATGTTTCATTTTTTGCGCATCCCATAAAACACTTATATCCCGCCTTGAATGCCAAAAAAACTTTCAAAATAACTTCTACCCACAATAAACAAGAAATGTTGTAAATTTTGGGTATTTTAAATGTTGGTACAAGTGTTTTATGGGATGCGCAAAAAATGAAACAGGAAAGATTTTTTGGGACGGAGGGAGTATATATATTCTAGCTAGCTACCCACTTCTTCTCCACTCCCATGCATATGTCATTTTGATCTTTTCTTCATTATTTTAGGTTTAAAGCTTCAGTTTCATCAATAAAGATATAACATGGCCGCACCCTTGTCATCCTGGCCATGGCAGAACTTAGGCGTATACAAGGTATATACTCTACTCTTTCCGTTTTTAAAACAGTTCATCTTTCATTTTTTTGATATATTTTTGATGTTTTATTCTTAGTTTAGTTTTTTTTCTCTATACTACTCTATTCATTTCGTAGTGAAATATCATGCTATTAATGTGATTTTTCTCTCTCTTTATCGACGTTAAGGATATAATTCGAAAGTCAAATTGCGAAAATAAATCTAACAAAAGTTAAAATAAGATGTGTATTTGCAAACGAAGGGATTATACATTATTAAAAATCATGTCATCAGTCTTGATCGACAACAAATAAAAAACTGGACAAATTAATTAAAAAAATACTCTGTAACGGAGATAGTAGTTTATAAATCCATATACAATGGAGTATATATGAAGACTATGAACTAACAATGTTAGTGTTTACCATATATGTTTGGAGCATGCAGTATGTACTGTATGGACCCTTTGTTGCAAAGATTTTGCACTCAAAATACTATGCACAAGAAAGCAGCAATAGCCCCTCCTCCTCGGCAACAACAATATGGTGCTTGCACTTAGTGATTCTGTGCACCCTTAGAATGTCGGTGCATCAATTCTGGTCCTCCTTCAACAACATGCTGTTCCTCGTCCGGAATCGCCGCATCGTCCAACGAGGCACCGATTTCCAACAAATCGACAAAGAATGGGACTGGTACGTCGTATACACATACATCTGACCTTTGTATAAATAAATGCAATATTAATTGTTCGTACACGTAAAGTGCATTAATTAGGTTATATGTATTGGAGACCGTGAAACGTTACGAGTTAATTTGGGGTTATATTTACAGGGACAACTTCTTGATACTTCATGCATTGATTGCAAGTTTAGGGTTCCTAATTGTGTGGTCTCCAGCTGATGAGGAGATGATATTGAATCTTCCAAGGTGGGACATGGGAGGAGTGATGGCTGCAGTTTTGCTTCATGTTTTTGTCTCTGAGCCCCTTTACTACTTCCTACACAAATGCTTCCATGCCAATAATTACCTTTTCACCCATTACCATTCCCTCCACCACTCCTCACCTGTGCCACACCCCTTCACTGGTAATTATACTACTCTCTCCCTTTTCTAAAGCAACTCCTATTTTCACTTTAGTCCAAAATAAGGAGTGTATATTTCTAGTTGACTTTCTGATTTTGCCCTTGATGTGTTGAGTAAACGTAAGATGCAATGGATAGATTGTTAGTGAAAGAATTTGATGCATGTGATAGGTAGGGTACGAAAAGGTCAGGTTAAAATTGGTTTTTTTTTAATTGAAACTGGAAGTGTTTTGGGAAAATAAGAAATTGTTTTAAGAAAATAAGAGAGTACATGTTTAGCACCAGATAATATGAACCTTCTTTTACGTACCCTTAGGGGTAAAATGGGTAATATTACCGTTTTACCCTTAGGAGTGTGTTTTTTTTCGTTGACATTGAGATTTTGGGGCATATATGTGTAATATATGCAGCTGGACATGCAACGGTTTTAGAGCACATAGTGTTAGGGGCAATAATGGGAATTCCGGTTGTGGGGGCATGCATGATTGGACGTGGATCAACGGCCATGATTTACGGCTACGTTTTGACTTTTGACTTCCTGAGATGTTTGGGACATTGCAACGTCGAAGTCTTTCCACATCAGCTGTTTGAAGCCCTTCCTTTTTTGAGATATCTCATTTACACCCCCACGTAAGCCATCAATTATTTCTCTATCTCTCTTTCCACTTCCCATTTTTATACTCACCTCCCTCGTGTGAATTTAATTTTCTACTTTTAACTTTTACTCATTGTTAGAGAAAATTCACTGTAAGATATATTTGTCCAAAATATCCTTGTTAAAAATATTTAAACATGAGAAATGAAAAAATTAGATTCAGACCGCACAAAAAATGAAAATTATTTTTTGTCCAAACATACATATTCTCTCCGTCCCTAAATAAACTTCCCCTTTCATTTTTTTTTGTCCACAAATAAACTTTTATTTTCCCTTAAAAAACCTCTTTTACCCCTTACTTTTTCATATCCTATCTATCACATCATATCTTTTTACTAATAATCTACATATCACATCTTACTTTTACACATCACATCAAAGGTATTTTTGAAAAGTCAATACAAAAATATCTTTCTCTTAAATCCTCAAAAAGTCAAAAAGGGAAGTTTATTTAGGGACGGAGGGAGTATAAGAAATGAAAACGTAAAATTCAGATTGATAAAAAAAAGAGAAATATTTATTATCACACCGAACTAATTTTATGGCATTTATTAATCATTCCCATACAACTTATTTGTTGAATTGCTTCATTTGCCTCAAAAATATTTCAATATGATTTCTTTTAATTAATCGGAAACACATTCCCCGTATCGTAAAATTTTTCTACTTTAAAAAAAATGAATTGTAATATATGTATAATTTTGATATTCTTTTAATTTTGTAATATATGTATAATTTTGCATAAAAACTAGAAAATTAAAATTGACTTTGTGAATTGTAAATATGCAACTTGATTTGGGGCGGATGAAGTAATTGAGAGTAAAAGTGTTTTTTAAGACGGGTAAAAAGTGAAAGTAGAAAGTTTTTTGGGGTGCATGTAATATAATTTGTAGGAAATAAATACTTCCTCTGTTCTCAAAAACACTTCCTCTTTCATTTTTTTCACTTCCAACAAAACATTTCCACTTTCTATTAAAAAACCACTTTTACCCTTACTTTTTCATACCCTACCTATCACATCATACTTTTTTCTAATAATCTATCCATCACATCAAGGGCAAAATTGGAAGTCAACTACAATTTAACACTTCCTTATTTTTTCACTTTTTCAAAGTAGGAACTCTTTTTGAGAACGGAGGTAGTATTAAAAATATTTCATATATCAAAATTACACCTTAAAATAAAATCAGTTATATGTGTGTGTGTGTGTGTGTGTGTGTATGAGCCTAAATACACACCTAAAATGGCTTTATCAACGTGACCATTTTGGATGTGGATTTTCTAACACCCTTTCACAAATCGTATCCAAATTTTATCAAGTTTGATGATAAAAAAAGTCCAAAGGAAAATTTATTTATTTATTTGTGGTGGGAGAGCATGCAGATATCACAGTGTACACCATACAGAGAAGGACACAAATTATTGCCTTTTCATGCCAATCTTTGATGCATTGGGTAATACCCTCAACAAAAATTCATGGGAGAAGCACGGAGAGATTAGCTTGCAAGCAGGTAGTGCCCGAACATTGTTCAAGCTAAATGTTCACTGTCATTAGATATTGTTTTTGCTACTGGACATTATTTAAGTATTATCGAAAAAATAAAAATAAAAAATTGTTGGTGGACTAAATTAAAATACTTGGTGGCCGGGTGGTATGCCGCATGCATGCAGGTAAAGAGGGGAGGGTACCAGATTTTGTGTTCTTGGCGCACGTGGTGGACTTCACGGCAGGGATGCACGTGCCGTTCATGTGGAGGTCATTTTCGTCAATGCCATTCAGGACGAGGCTGTTCTGCATCCCCATTTTGCCCTTCGCCTTCATCGCAATGGTCTTCATGTGGCTCTTTTGCAAGCCATTCGTGGTCTCCTTCTACACCCTCCGGGATCGCCTCCATCACACCTGGACCATACCCCGCTTCGGTTTTCAGGTCTCCGCTCTCTCTCCTCCGTCCCGAAAAACATGGAAGTTTTGATTTTGAAGGGGATTTAAGGGGAGTGTATTTTGGTATTGAATTTCCAAAAATATCCTTTGATGTGATGGATAAAAGTATGATTTGATGGATAAATTATTAGTAAAAATGTATGATGTGATAGGTAGGGTAGGAAAAAGTAAGGAGTAAAAGTGACTTTTTAATATAAATGGGAAATGTTTTTTTGGACGGATGAAAAAAGAAAAGATAAAGGTTTCCTGGGACGGAGGGAGTATATTTTTTGTTGGCACAAATTGGAAATGAGAATAAGGGAAGCTAGAGAATAATTAAGCTAATAATAATTGCTAACAATATATAGTACACATGCAATAATAATTAAGTTGGAAACAAAAACAAAAATTGTGACACTTTTTTTTATTGGTTTGGGGGCATATATATATATATATATGTATATATATATATATATATATATATATATGTATATATATATGTATATATATATATATATGTGTGTATATATATATATATATATATATATATATATATATATATATATATATATATATATATATGGATGCACGCAGTATTTCATACCATTTGCGGCAAAGGGAATCAATGGGCTGATAGAAGAAGCAATTCTTAAAGCGGACAGATTGGGAGTCAAAGTTATCAGCCTTGCTGCTCTCAATAAGGTATGGTTTGTTCATGATGATGTGATGAGTAAAAATGAGATGTTATGAGTTTAGGCCAAAATAAGAATGTATTTCTATGGTTAACTTCACAATTTCGCCCATGGTGTGATGAATAGATTATTAATGAAAAAGTATGATGTAATAGATAGGATAAGAAAAAGTAAGGGTAAAAATAGTTTTTTTAATATAATAACATTGAAGTGTTTGGAGAAAGAGAAAAAATAAAAGATGAAGTATTTTAAGAAACGGAAGGAGTATGATATATATTATTAGTAAAAATATATGATATAATAACTTAGGTAGGATACGATCAAACTAATAGGGGTAAACATGGTTTTTTAATAAAAAGAACGATAAAAAGATTTTGGGACGGAAAGGAGAGAGGGAAAGAGTAATTAATTATTATTATTATTATTATTATTATTATTATTATTATTATTATTATTATTATTATTATCGTTGTTGTTGCATGCATTAGTCATTTTGTATCCTAATTAAACATCATGACCAAAATATAATTGTGACATTGTTATTTAGTTCGTTATTTACGATCGAGAAACTAATTAATTAATCAGATAAAAATGATGAAATATTATTAATTAGAATGAAGCACTAAATGGAGGAGGGACATTGTTTGTGAACAAACATCCAAACCTGAAGGTAAGGGTGGTGCACGGGAACACGCTCACGGCGGCGGTAATACTTAACGACATTCCAAAGGATGTTACGGAGGTTTTCCTCACCGGAGCCACCTCCAAACTCGGCCGCGCCATTGCTATTTACCTTTGTCAACGCAGAGTCAAGGTTTTGGTATGTAATGCCCCCCAAACACAAATAAACCTTTTTCTTTCTCTTTTGCTTAGCTTGTTGGAAGTTTGGAATAGTAAATTTTGAAGTTTTGGTTGAATTGATCTTTTGGCACAATATCATATCGAGACACTCGGTTATACGTATTACAGATGTTGACTCCGTCAGCAGAGAGATTTCAAAAAATCCAAAAGGAAGCCCTGCCTGATTTCCAGAAATACCTAGTGCACGTCACTAAATACCACGCTGCCAAAAACTGCAAGGTACATATTGAATAATAAAATAATTGTATTACCCAAGAAGTAATAGAATACATGTCAAAGTATATATAGAGAGGTGATTATATCCACAACTAGGAATAACAATCAATAATAGATGTTGACTAAAGTACAAATTAAAGACTACCATAACTAGTACTGCTACTACTACTATTATTATTGTTGTTGTTGTTGTCTAGCAATACACAATATACATTTAATGTAATCCATACTTTATTTAAAAAGCCATGGATTCTCAATTTCGTTTTCCCGCCCATTTGGTGTTCCACCAAAAATGGTAATTGTTCACTCCATATGGTAATTACTCAATTAAAATGGAGTTACACGGGTCATTAATGGAGTTACCGTAATTAAGTAATTTAAAGTAATAATAAAATACTCAAATAATAAAATATTATTTGAAGGTAAGTAATAATAAAATATTTAAAGTAATAATAAAATATTTAAAGTAATAATAAAATATTCAAACGAGTGTTGTAATTGTAAAAAGGATGTTCGTACAAAAATAGGTATAGAGTAATGAAAATAGGAAAATACGTATAGAGTAATATACATTTTTAACACGTATACAAAAATGGTAATAACAAATTATTAATGGTAGAGATGTTGAACATTAATGCAGCGAAACAAATTTGGGCAAATTCTTCATACCATAACTTGCATAAACAAAATTAGAAATTAAAATATAAACGAAAAATCCATACCGTTAATAAATCAATCCTTTTTTTAACCAGTTTATATGAATGGTAATAATTGTATTTAATTATATTTACTAATATATATGTAATAATATCTAATAACTTATTTCATTTAAAAATGGTAATTAAAAACGGTAATAAAAAAACGTATAGAGTAATGAAAATAGGAAAATACGTATAGAGTAATGTACATTTTTAACACGGATATAAAAATGGTAATAAAAAATTATTAATGGTAGAGATGTTGAACATTAATGCAGCGAAACAAATTTGGGCAGATTCTTCATACCATAACTTGCATAAAATAAATTAGAAATTAAAATATAAACGAAAAAGATAAATAAAAACATAATTTTGGGCAGATTCTTCATACCATGACTTGCGTAAACGAAATTAGAAATTATACGTATAGAGTAATAAAAATAGGAAAATATGTATAGAGTAATGTACATTTTTAACACGTATACAAAAAATGGTAATAAAAAATTATTAATGGTAGAGATGTTGAACATTAATGCAGCGAAACAAATTTGGGCAGATTCTTCATACCATAACTTGCATAAACGAAATTAGAAATTAAAATACGTATAGAGTAATATAGAGTAATGTACATTTTTAACACGTATACCAAAATGGTAATAAAAAAGGAACACCGAAATTCAAAAATTCATGTAGTATAAATACGCTACCATACCGGGCCAGAAAAGTAAACGAGTGTTCATGAAACGAGAGTTTTAATTAATCGGTGCTCCACCATCGTTTTTGTACGAACATGGGAATGATTACCGCCTTAAAAAATGTTCATGAAAAATCTGGATTATTGATGATGAAGCTAAGAGCGATTAGGGTTTACCATGTTCCTGCTCATTCTCGAGGGCCAGAATCATTGAATATTATTTTTCACGACTCAGAGGTTAAAACTACATTGTTTTATATTTTACATATAATGAATCTTTAAACAAAAAATATGAATTTAATTATAGATTAACGTTTTATATTTGTTATTAGGGCGATCGGATCCATGCTCATATCAAAGATAATAATATACGCACATTCAAACAAGATTTGCAAGAAAATGCGGTTTACTTAATCATGAGGGTCAAGGTTATACACAATTTTCAAGGCACAAAAACTACCAATCACCCTTGTATGCTCTAATTTTTGGGAAGGACCAAAATTCAAAAACTACCAATATATATGTAATAATACTATTTAAATCTTATTATAATACTATATTTATAATAATTATAAAATGTCCAGAAGGTAAGTTAATAATTGTAAAGTTAAAATGGTAAGTAGCTGAAATTGTGAAATTATAATTATTAAAAAAGGTATAAATATAATAATTAACGTATTGAAAATTAGAACTTATTAAAAAAGGTAAGTTAATAATTGTAGTGGCTGAAATTGTAGTAATATTTATTATAATTATTATATTTATAATAATTATAAAATGACCAAAAGGTAAGTAAATAATTGTTATGTTAAAATGGTAAGTGGCTGAAATTGTGGATTTATAATTATTAAAAAAGGTATAAATATAATAATATCTATTATTTTTATAATAATTAATTAACGTATTGTAAGTGTGAAGTTAATATAGCTATTATTTTTATAATAATTAATGTGTGTAATATAAAATGGTAAGCGTGACGTTAATATAATTATTATATATATAATAATTAACGTATTGAAAATTGGAAATAATTAAAAAAGGTAAGTTATAAAATTGCAAAGCGTAAGGTTTCTAATAAAATTGGAATCAATGTATTATATGCTAATAATTAACCAACGTTATTTTGAATACTGATTGGAAACGTCTGAAATTATGGTAAAAATAAGTAACTATCATTTTAACCATCGGAAGTTAATATAATTATTTTTATAATAATTAACGTGAGTAATATAAAATGGTAAGTCATCGGAAGTTAATAAAATATTATATTTATAATAATTACCATATTAAAAAATGTAAGTTATACAAATCCAAAGCGTATGTTTTTAATATAGGTAAGTTATACAAATGCAAAGAGTAAGTTTTTGAAAATTGGAAATAATTAAAAAAGGTAAGTTATACAATTATACACCCAGTCTCGAAAAAAAATAATTATGGTAAGAATAATTACACCCAATTTCGAAAAAAGTTAACCCTTCTTATTATAATTATAATTATAATATCCTATAGCCTATTACAATTAAATATACTATAAATATCCCCACAAATTGTACAATAATGTAGTCTATAAAGAAGTCTTTCGAATTTTGTTAAACAATGATGTTTTTAACCTTAAAATAATATAATCTCTATATTTTATTGCATCTCATTTTTATCATTGAAAAATAATTTGAATTTAATAACATAAAAATGACCCGTGCAACGCACGGGTGTGATACTAGTTGATGGTTAAATTCTTCTAGCTGTTTGAATAAAAAACTTAAATGGAACAAATATTTTGAAGTAGAGAAAGTATAAATTTTTCATAAGTTTACCTATAAACACATTATGTTAGAGTAAAATTGAAAAATAGAATTTATTACTGCATGCATATGTTTCCTTTTTTATAGTAATAACTATATTAAAATGTATCGTGAATGATGAACTATTAAATAATTAAAGAATTATTTGCACTAAATAGCACTAAAACTTAAGTCATTTCTCTAAATAGCACTTAGATTGTTTTATTCTCTAAATAGCACTTAATAATGACCAGTGATGACAAACATTTATTTGAATAATAACTAATGGATAATGACTAAAAATGCTACATTGGGAAAAAATATATGTAGTACTATTTAGGGAAAGTCATTATGTTTTATTACTATTTATGTAAATTCCTCGTAATTAAAATGCATGAATGAAATGATAGACATGGATAGTTGGGAAGTGGATCACAGTGAGAGAGCAAAAGTTTGCACCACCAGGAACTCATTTCCACCAGTTCGTCGTCCCTCCCGTCTTGCCCTTCAGAAGAGACTGCACCTACGGCGACCTCGCCGCCATGCGTCTCCCTCCCGACGTTCAGGGTCTCGGAACCTGCGAGGTGAGCAACCCCCCTACCCCCGACATTTAGCTAACTATGTATAGTATTATTCCGATCCGTCCGTTTTTTTATATAAAAAGTTTGTAAACTTTGACCTGATGATGCATGCATGTAATATATACATGTGCAGTATTCGATGGAGAGGGGGGTGGTGCACGCGTGCCACGCGGGGGGAGTGGTGCATTCGATGGAAGGGTGGACCCACAACGAGGTCGGGGCGATCGACGTGGACCGAATCGACATTGTTTGGGAAGCCGCTCTCAAACACGGACTCAAGCCTGTCTCCAACAACACTAGCTAGTACTATTACTACTAGTATAATTAAAAGCATGTGCTAAGCCTTTACTGGTTGTACGTTTGAGCTAGCTAGCTAGGGGTAATGCATGTGCTAAACGTACGTACCCAAGCCTTTACTTATTACTCCCTCTGTCCCCAATTTGATTACAAATTGCGGGTTACGGAGTAAAATTTTCTACTTTTTGAAATCATTTTATTTACAAATTGGTATATCAATAAGATATAAAAATTACATATTAAAAAACTACGTCAAAAGTTCTACAAAACAAGAGATGACAAGAATATTTTATTTTATCAAATACTTAATGAAATCACCTAAACAAACAAAAGTTATCGAGAGGAGAGAGAAAAAAAAATTGTAATCCATTTAGGGACGGAGGGAGTATATGTAATCATATACTCTATCCCTCTCAAAAGGTTACGTTTCATTCTTTTGCACATCCCAAAAAACACATCTACTCGCATCAAAAATGCCTAAAAATTACCACATTTATCCTTTTTCGTTTTGAAATTTCTTTTGGCGTTTGAGACGATATAGAAATGTTTTTCGGGATGCGCAAAAAAATGAAACGTAACCTTTTTTGAGACGGAAGGAGTATCTCGCTTATGTCCGCGGGACCCATCTTTTGTATTGAATTTTTGTTCATAATGATCTTCCTTCGGTGGAAAAATGTAGATTTTTTTTTTATTTTTGCACTTTTGATTGCACGAACCAAACATGGTGTAAGAAAATAAGGAAATAAGTTGTGCATGTACCACAATGTTTGTTTGGCTACTCTCCCCGTTTGGATTTAATCTTTCTGTTCTTCTTTTTTCTCTGTCCTGATTTAATCTATTCATTCCTTATATATATATGTGCATGTGTTTGGTCGACAAAATACCCTCCCATTTTACACGTCTGGATTTATTCTTCTCATTTCTCATGCTTAAGTATTTTTTAGGAGTATTTTGGACAAATCTACCCTTTTACCTACGTCAGTATTTTGGAAATTAAAACCAACTACAAATATGCGCTCCTTATTTCTTCCATTAGTCAAAATTAGAACCGTTTTGTTGAATAAACAAAGTATTTATAAAAGATTTTATTTACTTATTTTAAATTTTTTTCATATAAAATTTATTTTTTACATTATAATTTGAAAGTATCTTTAAAAAAATTTGGGGGTGGAACCCCCAATACCTTGCTACTACCCTTTCCATTCTTGGATCCACATTAGAACGAAGGTATGTGGTGGAGAGCTTGTTAGTGTACAATTTCCATTAGTCTATTTTATTTATCTTCCAAAAGATCTTTTCATTTGTTTTTTTAACATTTAAAATACTACAATTATCATCACTTTCTTTATTGAAGAATTGATATATTCCAATAATCATAATGTGGGAATACAAGGGATATTATATAGTAGAGTAGTCCTAGTTATAATAGGAAACCTACTATGTTAGAAATCCTTAATTTTAGGAATCTTTAATTAATAAGGACTATACATGTATGGAAACTACTATATACACAAGATACTAAATATATACTTAATATATTTAACATGCTCCCAACGGCACTGGTGCGGAACGCCGAACGCCCAAGCAATCCCGGAATTCTGAAAAAATGATGGATGGAAGACCCTTCGTGAAGATATCAGCATACTAGAGAGACGAAGGGACATGTAGTACGCGGACTTGTCCGAGAGCCACGCGGTCTCTAACGAAGTGTATGTCAACCTCGATGTGCTTCGTGCGCTGATGCTTAACAGGATTTGCAGAGAGGTAGACTGCACTCACATTATCACAAAAAACAAGAGTGGATCGACTGAGTGGTTGCTGGAGCTCGAGGAGAAGATTACGTATCCAGCTGACTTCGGCTACGGCGTTGGCTACTGCTCGATATTCTGCCTCGGCACTGGATCTGGACGTGGTGAGCTGGCGCTTAGAAGACCAGGAAATGAGATTATCGCCAAGGAATATGTAGTAGCCGGAAGTGGACCGGCGGGTGTCAGGGCAGCCGGCCCAATCGGCATCAGAATAGGCCCGCATCTGGTCTATGTGAGATCTGGAGATGGAGATGCCATGTGATGGTGTGCCATGAAGGTATCGCAAAACCCGCTTCATGGCCGTGACATGGGGCGTGCGTGGATCATGTAGGAAGAGACAGAGCTGCTGCACAGCATAAGTGATGTCAGGACGAGTGAAGGTGAGGTACTGTAAGGCTCCCACAATGGAGCGGTAAAGAGAGGGATTTGGCGCAGGTGTTCCTCCTGAAGCTGACAGTTTCCCGCGTGTATCAACCGGAGTGGAAACCGGTTTACAGTTGAGCATGCCCGCTTGATCAAGAATATCATAGAGAAACTGAGTCTGTGTCAGGAACAAGCCACGGGAGGTGCGCTGAACATTGATCCCGAGAAAGAAATGTAGCTCTCCCATATCTTCCATAGCAAACTCACCCTTCAACCGTTGTATGACCCGCTGTAGAAGATCCTGCGAGGAAGCCGTGAGAATGATGTCATCAACATATAGAAGTATGAAAGCCATCTGAGACCCCTGGCCATAAGTGAACAGTGAGGTGTCGCTCTTGCACCCGCGGAAGCCAATCGTGAGAAGAAAGCCAGTAAAACGCTGATACCAAGACCGCGGTGCTTGTTTCAGTCCATAGAGCGCCTTGTTCAGTTTGCACACATAGTGGGGTCGGGGCAGGATCCTGAAATCCAGATGGTTGGGCCGTGTATACCGTCTCTATGAGAGTGCCATGAAGAAAGGCATTCTTGACATCAAGCTGGTGAATTGGCCATCCTCGTGATACGGCTAAACTGAGAATGATCCGAATAGTTGCCGGTTTGACCACCGGGCTGAATGTCTCATCATAATCTATGCCATGACGCTAATTGAATCCTCGAACAACCCATCTGGCTTTGTACCTGGACAGCTCACCTGTAGGGCTAAGTTTGTGTCTAAAAAGCCATTTACCGGAGATAATATTTTGGTTAGGGGAGGGAGGTACTAAATCCCATGTATTATTAGCAATCAAAGCATTATATTCATCTAACATAGCATTGTAGCAATTTTGATCTTTAAGTGCACTACGGTAGGTGGGGGGAATGGGAGAGATGCTAGCAACGGTGTTTAGGTTTAGGACTTGTTTAGGGCAAAAGATCCCGGCCTTAGCGCGGGTGGTCATGGGATGAGTGGGCTGAGGATGCTGGGTTGCTTCGGGTGGGTGGGCCGTGTCATGTGGACTAGGAGGAGATTGGGCCGAGGAGGGGGAAATAGTGGAGGTGGGC